TGTCCACCGAAAGTGCTTCTAAGATGATAATCTATTTCGTTGATGGTGAGTTCTTCTTTTCCTCATTTATTCAGTTTTCGTGTCATGATTCAAGTGAACTCAGTTTGTTGATGTGGACAAGTTTTGAAGCGTGGTTATGAAAGGAAGGGATGATGTAATTCTAAATTCCGTGTCTCAGCCCGTCCAATTCTCATTCTTGCTATTTTATGGATTATGAGAATGTAATGACCTTTCTTCGTCTCAATACACTTTACTTTATTTGTCACTTTAATAGGTCATTTCTAGTTTGAGAGTGATTGTAATATTTCTCATTTTACTGCATCTCTTTCTCCCGATTATCGTGTTTTGAAATCCGTTTTGGGGGACAATTATGTCGATATTAATTGTACGAGAAATTCTTTATTTAGTGTCAATTTGAGAAATTTATAGTTTATCCTCGAATTGAATAATTTGAAATCACGTGCAACTGCAAATTCTCTTGTTAATAGATTTTTTGTGGGGAATACTTGTTCAGGTTTTGTTTTCATCAGTGGTATTATTCGCTTATCTATGTGCATGATAGGTCAGTCTTGTCATTTTCATGGCTCTTTCATCAACTGGGCTGGACCTGCACCGTCTGTTCTGCGTAGGCCATGGCTTGGCCCTACATGACAATTTAAAAAAAGAAAAAAAGAAAAATGACCCGTCTGGTTCATGTGACACTTAGCTTCGGTTTAGGTGAGATCTTGGGGTGAGAGATGCCATTTACAAGAAAAAGCAATAAACTTTATAAATAAGTTGAGGTCGACTATCCCATTAGATAAGAGGAATTAGAGTACGTACATCAAGTATTGACTATGGTCTTGGAATCAAAGGACCGGGAAAATGCAGATGAAGGCGATTGTTCAAGAATCGATTATAATTAGTTTAGATTATAAATAGATTGAAATTAGGCTATGTTTGATACAACTTCTTTTCCATGGAAAATGGAAAAGAATTTCCGTCTTCCACTTTTTTAGATGTTTGATAGGCAAAATGTTTTAGGCAATTGTTTTTCCACTTTTCCTCCACACGGTCACATTTTCTCCCTCCTCGTTGAATTGGTTTTCCCACCTATGTGTTGGTTTTTTGAATTCCAACTTCTTCTTCTTCTTTTTTTTTCGTTTTTTTTTTTGGCAATGGAAACAAATTTTAGAAACAATTGTAAAAGAGGATATCCCTTAAATTGAAAATTTTTATGTAAAATAAAGTCAAATGAACGCAAAAATATCGATGATTTTTTTATTTTGCAATGGAAACAAATTTTAGAAATAATTGTAGAAGTGAATATTTCTTAAATTGATAATTTTTATGAAAAATAAAGCCAAACGAATACTAAAAGACACTTTTATTTTAATATTTTTCAGGTGGAAAATTATACTAATAAAACACTATTGATTGTCAATTCTCAGTAAAACAAATTTTACGCAATTCAATTCCCTTCAATTCGTTTTCTTTTCACCCAAATTTTATCCCTGCAATCAAACGGATCCTTGATAAATTAGTGGTAGTATTTATGGGTGTTATGAATAGTGAATAAGAAAGGTTTGACCAAAAGTGTGTATATTCTTTTACTAAATTCTAGTTAGTTTAATTTTATTGTAATCATGATTCATCGTAAAATAGAATTATAATTGAGAACCCAATTATGATAGGTGAAAACTAACCGAGGGATTGTTTGGGAGTTTTTTTAATCGATTTTGGTTGACATTGTTTATGAGAGGTTGAAAAAGTCGGTCTTTGCTAGTTTTTTGAGAGCAACAATTTTGGATGGTTTAAAAAGTATTCAAAACTAGTGTAATTTTGATCGATTATCTCAACCCATCAAACTGGCGGGTTTTGATCATTTTTCATATTCCATTTTAATTTTACCCTTTATAAAATGATTAGTTTCAATCAACATATTTTATTTAAAACTAACTTGTAAATAAAAATATATTAACTAAGAAATTATTTATAAGCAAAAAAATTCACAATATAATTAAAAAAAAGTTACTTATAAGTAAAATATTATTTATAAGAAAGAATCACTCGTGTAAAAAATTGTTTATAAAGTCAAAATACTATTAATAATATAGAAAGTTTACTTATAAAATATAAAAAGTCAATTGCATGTAAAAATTATTTAAAAATATGAAATTAACTTGTAATTTTAAAATTTACTCTTAAGTTTAAAAAAATACTAACTTAAAATTTTAAGTATTTAACTTTATTTAACTTTGTAATTAAACAAAAACTTTTATGTAAAAAAATTGCCTATAAGTGAAATATTACCGATGAGTAAAAAAAATTACATATAAGAATCTGTAAGATGAAAAATTTTTAAAAAACATATATGTAGTTTTATTTAAAAAATAAAATCAAAATAGGTGGATAATAAACAGTTGAATTGCTTTAAAAAAATTTTACACAAAATTGATCCGTTCATAATTGCCAAAAATTGGTATTTTAAAAATGCTCATAATCGGTAATCAAAAACTTCCAAGCATGTCCTAAGTGTAGAAATTAGATATGCTCATCACGTACTATTCTCGTAAGCATTTGTTTGGCTGAAATTATTTTTTCTCAAATTTATTTTTGATCATATATTCTTTAAAAAAAAATAATTTTGTGTATAAATTCATAACTTTTATTTATTTTTAACTACATATTTATTAAAAATTAATTTACCCTTTATTTCTCATTACATTAAATTAAAACTTTCTCTCTCCTATTTTTAATCACACAATCTTCAATAAAATAATATTACACGTAAATTAAAAAAATTTTAACCACTCATTTTTCAAAAAAATATTATTTATCTCATTATAATGCCAAATAATAGGGCTCAAATACATCCTTAATATTATTACTAAGCCCCCTTGGTCTTTATTTTTTTTTAAAAAAATTCTTCAAATTTATTTTCAATCACATATTTTATGAATTTACATTTTTAAAAATTTTTTTAATAACACATTTTATCAATTTTTATCAAAATTTACTAAAATTCTAATAAGGGTCCGTTTGATTGTAAAGATGAAATTGAATTGAATTGAAAACGAATTCTAGGGAATTGAATTGCTTAGAAATTATTTTCTTAGGAATTGTAAATTATTGTGTTTGATTGGTATAATTTTTCATATGAAAAATATTAAAATAAAAGTATTTTTTGATATTCGTTTGACTTTATTTTACATGAAAATTATCAATTAAATAGATAAAATTTACTGGTATTAGATATAAAATTTGTTTCCATTGCCAACAAAAAAAAATCAATAAAATCATCTATTTTTTGGTGTTCGTTTGACTTTATTTTTCATGAAAATTGTCGTAAAAGGGAAATTTTTTTTACAATAATTCTTAGAATTTATTTACATTGCAAAAAAAAAATTAAAAAATCGCTACGGTAACCGAGAATTTCAATTCTCACCATTTTGGTGAGAATTCCAATTCCATGATTTCATAGAAAATGCTGACATGACAAGAAAGTGAGAATTTTAATTCCATGAAAAATTTTGGACAATCAAATAATCAAAAGTTGAAAAATGGAATCCTCCATGAAAAAAGTGGAGCAATCAAACGCTACCTAATTGTCTAAATCGAACAAGCTCTTATAATGAATCTCTGGAAATACATCAAGGATCAAAAACGCTACCTAATTGTCTTCTTGAATGGTTTCACACAAGTTAAATTTGTCCTAAAACCATTAACAATTTCATGGACGTCGTCCCTACCATCTGTTTTTGTCAAAGTGCCTATTGGCTTCCCAACTCATAAATTTTGTAATTTTCAGTGCTAATTCCCTTATGGAGTGAATGTACTGGCGCTTTAGGGTCTGACTTATACAGCCTGATTTCTTTTGTAGCTAACAAAATAGAATTGTGTTACGTGTACACAAGAGTGTACATAAAGCATTACACCTCCTCACATGGAGGATCCATATACAAATAAATATTCGTGAGCTTCTCTCCATGTGAAGGGAGTGTAATCTATTATGTACATCATAAGGCGTACACATAAAATAATCCAACAAAATATGGCCTAATTTTGTTTGGGTAAATTTCATTCTCGGTATCCATAACTAACTATACTGTAATTTTGTTTAATCGGTACTACACTTTATTTTGATTTCAATAAGTTGATTTTGTCTAGTTTCATCACTCGAATTGACAAAAAATTGATGACATAATAGTCAAGAGACGATGAATGTTATTTATTTCAAGGCAGTAATACTTATTTTAAATTAGCTAATAACGGACACGAGTGATAATTATTACCGGAGTTAGACAATGTTATCTTTATTGAAATGAAATTAAAGAGTAGTTAACTCATTGGGAAAAAAAAAAAATACTTCATTTCAAATTTGGCAACCCCATTGCGATCCAGATTTGATTGTGGTGAGCCAGACACCTCTTGGCATTTTGACATTTGGTTAGTTAACACGAAAGTAAAAAACCATTTCCTCGCTGTAGGACATTTTCGAGAGACGGGATAAGAGGTAAGAAATCCCCATTTACCGCTCCATTTATTTAAGAGTTTGTGACGATATTGACGGCTTGTGTTATTGAAAATGATAATGCAACTATGTTAAAACTTTGGGAAATATCGACATTTACATTTTATAAAGGCTAAGAATCAACTTACTACCAAGACAATAAGGACCAATTGTGCAATTTCGTCTCCCAGTTGGGCAAAAATGAAAAAGTAGGGTTGTTCTCTTTGTGTTTCAGTTTTGTAATTTTGAACTTACTTTTAGTTTTGTGTTTTGAAATTGATGAAAAATACGTTCTTTTTGCTATTTTGGAACCGTTTCCCGTGTTTTCAATTTTGTACTGAAAATGCTCGAAACGATAAAAAATGTTGTTTTGTGTTTTCTTCACAAATTTCTTTTTTTCATTTTTGAAAATTTATTTTTTAAAATGAGAAAGAGAACGCATTTTCACCGATTTTAAAAATAAAAAGGCCCCGGAAACGGCAAATATAACACACCCAAATTTCATGATTTCCCACACTTTGACCCCTTAAACCTAGCATTTTTTATCTAAATTCATACGTACACCTGTATATTCTGAAATGCTGAGAAGAAGATTAACTTCACTATTATCAACTTCAATCCGCAATGCCCACAATCAATTCCACAAACCCATCTCAATCTTGCCACCGCGCATATCCAATTTGACCCCATTGCTGCAATTCGTAGAGTGCCCGCCAGGTTTTTCGAACCCGAGTTCTAATGGATATTTTAATTATCAGAGTACGAGGACTTACAGCAGCCTATTGGCATTGAATGATTTGAGGGATAACAAGGGGGCCCGGAAACAGAAGACACGGAAGGGCCGGGGTATCGGGTCGGGCAAAGGAAAGACGGCTGGTCGGGGGCATAAGGGACAGAAGGCCCGGGGTACTATGAAGTTTGGATTTGAAGGTGGTCAAACTCCTCTTCGTCGCCGCCTCCCTAAACGCGGGTTTAAGAATCCATTCAGCCTCACTTTTCAGGTACTATAAATACGTGTTCGTTGAGTTGTAGCTCAGTGATTTTAGTGGAAAATTTAAATTGATATTGCTTTGTGATTTCTAAATTCTTTCTGCTCTTCAACGTATTCATTTCTGTGCTCATACGGAGAGTAATGTTTGTAAAATATTTGCTCCCTAGAACCACATAAAAGTACAATAGTCTATGCTACATGATAGAACATTTACAGGGCGCATGGCATTGCCCGCGAATATTGAAATCCTATAGTTATTGATTGCTAGAAGATGGAAAGATATAGACTAATAAAAGTTTGAGTTTGAGAAATGAGTCCAGTTATTATCCTTAGCATGAAATTGAAATGGCGAGCCAGTGACTTGTGTAACAAATTGCTGTGACAGTGAGTCAAATAACACTTTGAACGATTTTTCATGGAAAGGATTAATATAATCGTGAAGGTAACTTAACGCACTAAATCATAGTAGTCTAGATGCAATGTGAGAATGCCATTTGTTGCATTTATTTTGCATGTTGGTCTAGTTTCTTCATTATTTTCTACTTCCCACCTACCCAAATCAATGTCAGTGAAGCAACGTGCATGTAATCAAGACTTTTCTACATGATTATATTGTAACTAAAAACATTCTCTTTTTACATGGGCCTAGGATTCCCATGTCTAGCCTCGTCTGATAAATATCTCATTTGCAAATGTGGTTTATCGCTTACTTATTGATCGAAGGTTGAGTAAAATCTTAACTTTCGTTGGAAGAAATATAAAATATTAGATGAAGGGAATGTGTAAATGTCATGGAAAACTTTAGGTTTATTAGATGGAACCATTTGGTAGCAAATTATGATAGCCCGTTGGTAGGGAATTGTGACCAATGTCCAATGAGGGACAAGGTGCAGATTTTATATGATATTTGTTAGCCAGACTTTGTACATGCATGATATACTAGCACCAGATCCTCATTCAAACCTAGAGTTCTTTCAGTTGCTCTGATATTATTCGCCAAACTGAATGAAAAACTTGTGAAAAATTGAGAGTGCTCATATTAGATGAGGGGTTGTGTGTCATACTCCTAATCAAGTCCATGCAATATAGAGTCGAGTATATATATATATATATATAAACATATACATGTACATATTGATTTGGCCTTTGTTATTGAGTTGTATTCAGCATATTGATTTAATAAAAGGAAGTTTATTTCGAAGATTTGCCTGCATCATGCACTTTTTCTTGGATACGTGCATCTCTATAGGCTTCCTGCTAGTAATTCTAATATCAATTATGGTAAATAGTTCTTACTACAATTTCTCATTTGGTAATTGGAAATATAGGTCCTGCAAGGCTGCACATTCTATAGAAGAAAAATGATAGTTTACACAGCCATGATAAGATAAACAGTGCTTGTTTACGCACTTTTCTAAGTGATGAAATAAACCTATCATAAACATCATATCGTGGCATGCTGTTGGACAGTTCTCTTCAAAAAATGACAAAAGGCAGTGAGTAGATAATTCGATACAGAAAGGTCAAACATCCATATGACAATACGATTAAATCTTCTCTTAACACTACTGTAACTGTTTTCCTGTTGTGCATGGTTGTTGATATTTTATTTAATCCTACCTCTTCAATCACTTGGATATTGCATTGTATTGAATGGAAAGAAGTGTAAAATTGACGCACCGTGCTAACTTCTCGTGTTGGATATATATGAAGCTTCACAATTTATTCTGTCCAAGAAGTCGTGCCAGATATCTCTTTTTTTCTAACTACCAATCGGCTTCCTTATGTTTTCCCTCCTTTCTTCTGCACTTCTTCGGTTCTTCCACTCTCTGCGCGTTGTTTGTGATAACAGAGAACTGGTATTTTAGTAGTAGCTTCTACCAATAATGTTATTGAGATTTTTTACTGAAAGAAATTAGTCGTGAGAAGATATGCAGACCACTTTTGTTTCACCAGATCTGTTTGTCATTGTCTACTTAAGATACCAAAACTCATTCATGCGCACTTCATCTGACCTTCATTCAACCACATCTTTTGATTTCTGGATTGTTATATGAGTGATATCAGTGCATGGTTTCTGATTGACTTATAAATGTCACTGCATAGGGTTAGATGCACTGTCTATTTTTGGGGAAATTGCATGCTGTTACTGGAAGATTTTCTGATTCTGATTTTGATTCCAACATTTGCAAATCTGCCACATAAAGTGTATAGTTTTACACAAAAACATGGGAATCAAATAAATACGGTATAATCCTCGTGAACTGGGGATATATACCTAGTGATACCCTGCTGCTAAAAGTTGGAAGTGCAGATACAGTATTTATCACCCTTCTAGAAAGGACTTCTTGAGCCAAAGAATGATTGGATAAAATCATGTTTCTTCACCTGAATCATATAATCAAATGGATCATTTTAGCCATATTACCACATGTATTTTATTTGTGTGCACTTCTGATGTAGGATGAATAAGAAAGAAAGAAGAAGGAACGGGGAGGAGAAACAGAGAGAAGGGAGAAGAGGAAAAGAAACCAGAGGAAGAAAGGGGAGGGAGAAAACGGCTGCAAGCCACCAAAAAATATTTCAATTCTAAATCATCATCAACTGTCTCAAATGAGAAATAAAACAGAAATAAATAGCAGAACACAAACCCTAAAGAGAAGGG